ATAATGAAAGTGACTTCCTAGCATCACAGAGACTGCTGTGCACAGAAACACCCCTACTGGATGGTGCTTCTTGATCTCAACCTACTCTGAAATGGACACCCCACCCCCATTTCCAGGTCATTATTCCTCCCGACAGGCAGGAGAGAGCCATGAGCCTGAGAGAAAGCAAAGCACCACCCAAGGCACACCAAACTACCGCTTGGCAGTATTCCAGGCCGCAGCTACGTGGGACACAGCTGGACAACAGGAGCAGGGAGGGGACGTCTCCAAGGGCTCGGGTCGCGCCAAGCTCCGTGCACACTCAGCACCACCCACAGAAACCCCTGAGCTACAGAGACCAGTTAACACCGTCCACAAGACACTGCAAAGTCCCAGCAGGTCAGGCTGATCCCAGCAGCAACACCCTGTGACCCAATACAGCTGACAGAGCCTCAGGAGGGGGCAGCACTAAGGAACCAGGAGCCACACAACAAAGGCGAACAGCACATTTTCCACTCAGACCTGAGAGGTCTGTAACAGGTCCACGCTACCTGTTGTTGGCCTTCATGAAATTCACAGCAGAAAAAGGGGGCCCACGGAGCATTTCCAGCCACACTGAAAAGGTCTCCCATAACTGAATCGAATACTGGATTTCATTTACATTTAAAGGAATTGATCTTGAAGTTGTCAAAGATTTCATATTACTTGATTCTACAATCAACAGAAGCAGCAGTCAAGACATCTGACATCTGCTGCAAAGGACCTCTTTCAAGTGCTTAAAAGCAAAGATGTCTCTTTGAAGAATAAGGTGCGCCTGACCCAAGCCATGGTATTTTCATTCACCTCATATGCATGTGAAAGCTGGACAATGAATAAGGAAGACCGAAGAAGAGTGGATCCCTTTGACTTGTGGTGGTGGTGAAGAATGCTGCCAGAACAATGAACAAATCTGTCCTGGGAAAAGTGCAGCCGGAATACTCCTTGAAAGCGAGAATGGCCAGACTTTGTCTCACCTACTTTGGTCTTGTTATCAGAAGGGACCGTTCCCTGGAGAAGGACTGACACAGTGGCTGCAGCGATGGGCTCAGGTACAGCATGGACCGTGAGGCTGGCTCAGGACCGGGCAGGGTTTCACTGTGTTGTACGCAGAGTTGCTGTGAGTCAGAGCTGACTCGAAGGCACCTGACGACAACAATCTTGGGCTAATCGGGTTGTCTGTCTGTCTGTCTGTCTGAGGGAGCTGGGTGATCTGTTTCTAAGGGACCTGTCCATGTCATCAATGCTGTCAAGTCACGGGCATCAGGCTGCTCCGAGCGTTTATTCTCTGACAGTCATTGGCTGTAGAGGCCCCACTGGTATCATCTCCTCCTTTCTGATACTGGGATTTGGGCCATGGCTCTGACTGATCCCTGACCACTCAGCCTAGAGACCTGTCCATCTTATTAACGTTTTCAAAGAGCCAGCTGCTGGTTTGATTGACGTCCTGTATTTTTTTGTTTTCTACTTCATGGACTTCTCCTCAAATCTTTAGCATGTCCAGTCTTCTGACTTCTTTGGGTTTCATTTGCTCTTCAAGTTTCTACCATGGAAGCTGAAGCCAAATTCGAGACCTGTTTTCTTCCCAAATAGACATTCAATGCTATCAAAGTTTTTTATGGCTCAGTACGTGGTCTGTCTGAATAAACGTTCCGTGAGAGCTTGATAAAAATGTGATTCTGCTGTTGCTGGGTGGAGTGTTCTAGAAACGTCCATGGAGTCCTCCTAGGTACACACCCACAATGCTTGAAAGCGGAGACAGTGCACCCACGCTCACTGCAGCACTAGTCACAACCATGGAGGGAGAAGCCACCTGAACACACGGACAGGGGAATGGACACACAGAGTTTGGTCCATCCACACACACCCACAACGCCTGAAAGCGGAGACAGTGAACCCACGCTCACTGCAGCACTAGT